CCGCCAATTCCCTGGACTCACCAGAATGGCTCCTGCCATGCAGACCTCCATCGGAGACACATGAGGGTGTACCACCTATGTCAACCATTCTGAGATGCCCAGAGTTCCTTACATCTCAGCATCTCTGAAGTTGGGATACGTCTCAGTCAAAAGGGTTCACAGTCTAACTGGAGGTCTTTTCCCTCGGGGCTCAAGCAGGATTGGTGCACCTTATAGTAGATGGGGCCTGGACTTGAGAGACATTATAATTTTTTTCAATCACCTATTTATGTGTGCCTGCTGGGCCCAGGGCCCAGAGCAACCTTGGCTGTTGGCCTCTCACCCTGGGAGACCTTGCAAATCAGGACCTGGGTCCTTAGGCTCCAGTCCCAGAGCCTCGCCCCACCTCCGCCCTGCCTTCAAGGCTGAATGCTGTCCTCCTGGTCATCTCTTTGCTACTCTGTGTCACCCTAGCCTCAAGTCTTCTTTCCATTTACCCTCCACCCCCATCTCTGAACCCACCCTTTATTCCAGAACCTATTTTCCAGGTGCCTTCCCAGGACAAACTCTTTTGTGACCTCATCACACAATGAAGTGGTGATGCTGGCCAAGGCTAATGGAAGCCTTGTTGAGGAAGAAGCTGTTGCTCTTGGGTCCTCCAAGCCACCTGGCTGCACATGGCCACAGCTTGGACCTTTTCCCATAAGGTAATACATCTCCAGAGAGCACGGCAGGCTCTTCATTGCGGTGCCACCCGCCCCCATCCTCCTTTGTGGTAAGGGGCAGCCTGTAGACTTAGGGCATAGGCCTTAGCTCGCTGAGATTTCTGCATCCCCAAGGACTGCAAGTGTTTTGAGACCCACATCCTGCCCCGCACATAGCTGGATGAATGGGTGTTCCTCCAACTGGGAGCCACTCTCCTGGTTCTATTTCCACCAGGCTGAGTCTACCCCAGGCCCTCTCCACAAGCCTGTCCAGTGTCCAGGGACCTAGACACACCAGGGAGGCAGGCAATCCTTACCCAAGCCCAAGCAGTGTGTATGTGGGGGGGCTGGTGTTGGGGGTCAGGACCCCTGGGAGACAGCACTTCTAAGTACTTGTGCCCCCACCAGTCCAGCCGGCGTCCAAGCAGAAGGTGTGTGATGCGCAGGTGTGGATGGAGTGAGCTTTCACAGATGCAGCTGTTGGTGGTGCTCCTGAAAACACCTGGAAAGTCCTTGAGGCTTTCACAGTGAAAGGCAGAGCTTAGGCTTGTGCCAGGGCTCTTTCTGGTCCCTCCCCTTGTCCACGCTCATAGAAACCATGATTCAAATTTTAAATTTTGATCCTTTCCCAGGCTATCACATGAAGGAAAATACTCTCTTGTGATGCTGGGCAGAGGCAGTGAGTGGATTCTCCCAACGATAGGCTAATGTAGGTGTTCTGAGCACTTTTAAAACAGCCTAGGCTAAGCTATGATGTTTGGGAGGTTAGTCATATTAAATGCAATTTCAATTTATGATATTTTCAACATAATAGGTTAATTGGGATGTTACCCCATCATAAGTTGAGGAGCATCCGTATTTGTGGAGACAGTTTCTGCTCTAAAGAGCACGTTCCCACAGGGAGGGACAAATGATGCCCATCTGGGTTACCAGAGCCTCTGTGGTGGCAGGGGGGTGGGTGGCTGGCACACTCCCTGGGAAGGGGCCGAGGGGCTTGGGACAGAGGCAAACCACGTCGCCTGCCGTGCTCCATAAATGGGTCTCCCATACCTGAGGGTCACCTGGAGAGAGAGGAGTCATTTCTTCGGGGCAGCCACTGGGCCCCAAACACAGAGCTGCACATGATCAGGTTGGTTGGGCCAAGCTTCAGGTGAGCACATTTACACTCAAGAGATGGAAGCAGAGACTCGCACCCCAACGTCCACAGCACTGGTGTCGCCAGAACCAGGACACAGGCCAGGTGCACCCCAACAGGTGGGTGGATAAGCACTGTGGTCTCTCCATCCACAGGGCAGGGCCCAGCAATGAAGAGGCAGGAAGGCAACCTGGATGGACCAGTGGATGCTGGGGTGCGGCAGGGTCCACTACAACGGGCAGGAGGGTGTTACTGGGTGGTACAAAGTCGTCACCATTCATATAACTGTGAGTGAAAGACTGAATGAGTGAATGTGACTGAATGTAAGTTCTTCTCTCACACAGAAAGAACCTGCCAGGCCCTTTCTCGCCCCGCCCCGCCCCGCCCTTCTGTTTTGACCCCACTCTGGTGTGTCTATTCTTTCTCCTCTCCTCCCTCTTGGCCCTTTAAACTGAGCTGAACGGTGTCCTGGGAATAGCTTTAGGATCTGTTATTTTCAGTTAGCAAAGCAGCATGTTTTTGCTCTTTATCTCTCCAAATAGGTAAGAGGGGTGTCGAGTTCCGTGGTCGTCGGTAGGAAAGGTGCATGCTGCCGTTCGTGAGCGTCCCCAGTGTGGGGACTGTGCCGCGGGCCCCGGCACAGTCCAGGCCATCCGCCCGTCCACGCATTTGGACTCTCGACATCTGTCTGGTCTACGAGGAAAAAAAATGCATTTCATAAAGTGCTCTGTCTACTCTCTTCTGATGGAGTTGTCACCCCCTTGTTCTAGACAAGCAGCTGCAAGCTCCAGGAGCACACACCTCGGGACCTGGAACGCTGGCTCCTGAGATGGAGGCGCCAGGGCCCACTTTTCAACACTGCGGCCCTATGTATTTCATGCTGAAGCAGGGTGCTGGCTACACGGGGGTAGTTGTTTTTCATGCTAATTGTTCAATAAATTCTCAATATTAATAAATTGTATATTGTAATAAATAATTCTCTATGTAGTCACACTCCAACTCAGTTGATAAATCAAAATGAATAGCTATAACACAGTAAAATTTCCCCAACCCTGAAACATTGGTTGCCCATTTATTAAAAACACTTCTAAATATTTAACAAAAATGGCAAGCCTAACGTATCAACTCTAAAAATGTCTTAACATCTTAGGAAAGATACATATACAATATGAGAGTCACTAAAGCTGGTCCTAAAAGCACTGTATGTAGATTCTCTCTAGATTGCTTCTCATTATTTTTTAGGTGTGTCCTCAGCACCTACAGGACTCAACCTGGCAACCAGGTCATTGAGAGTTGACTCTGAGCCAGGCATCTCAGGAGGGTCTGGTACAGCCACTGAGTGAAGGCTGGCCCACCCAGGCCTCAGACTGAGCCTCTTTTAATAACAAAACTTACCCAGAGATTGAGGAACATTTAACTATAGTCCCATCTTTCATATTTATTTTCAGTTTCTGACTCTTGGCATCTCTCCCCGAAATGAGAGATTCTCTAGGTTTCATGTGGATGGAAGGTCCTGACCCACCGTCCTGTTATTTGGAGAAATGGCCCTGCTGTGTTGGGATGAGTGATCTTCCTCATGAGCTTTTTATCGCATCCAGCAGGGCTGAGTCAGGGGTGTCGTGTGCATGGCCGGAGGGAGTGGATGGCCACATGCTCCTACCCACTAATGGCAGGAGGACCAGGCACACAGTTCACACCCCCAGCTCCTTCCCCTCAGCTCTAGGGTCTCAGTTATCTGCTCACTCTCACAACACTAAGAGATACAAGGACAAGCCTTTTTTGTAAAGGCTGCAAACACTATGACCTTCCTCCGTCACAAGATGGGGCATGTGTCCCCTCCCCGATACTAGGGCTGGGCAAAGAAGGCTCTAGGCTCCTGCCTGGCTTGCTAGACGAGCTCTTGGAGTGCCCCCCCTCCCCATAAGAAGCCTGATTCCCCTGAGATTGTAACGCTGAGAGGCAACGCAGAGGCACTTGCATCGATGATGCCCCCTTGCCCCGCCCTTCCCAGGCTCCACAGCCCAGTGAGCCTCTCCAGACTTCCTGACCGATGGGCTCCAAGTACACAGAGGCTAAGTTTGGGCTGGTTATGAATGCAGCAATAGATAACTGCAACAGGATAAGCACAAACAACTTGATTACTTACCATTCTATGTCTTACAAAAAAAAATCAGAAAAACAATAAGCAGGGTGAACCAGTTAAAGGGGTGCAGTTGTATGGTGGTGGATGGAAACTAGACTTTGGTGGCAGGTATGATATATTACATACAGATGTTGACTTATAATGTTGCACACCTGAAACTTATGTTATAAACCAATGTTAACTCAATAAAAAACAAATTTAAAAAATAAATTTTAAATATCCCAAAATGTAAGCATCTTGTCTTAGTCCTTTCAAGCTGCTACAACAGAA